TATTAAGTGAGATATATTGTAGAAAATATTAACATCATAGCTTTAGATTTAAATACGAATTTAATTATATAGTCACTCCTTATTTTTTTTGCTCCTTGAAGTCTTTTGATTATTTATGTATATTTTATAAAATCTATATAAAAATTTAAAACTCTTACACTATATGATGCAATCAGAGTTTTTTCAGCTTCATGAACTTCATACAAATACTAGTATTAAAATTAGTTTAATGGAAACACTGATTTCGTTCAATGAACATGTAGAGTTATATTTTATATAGATTTATTATAATTAAAGTTTAATGCGCATTGGCTAAAAAATATGATCTATAATTTTCTATCTATTTATAAAAATGAATTACGTTGAATAGTAAATTGAGTGCACTTTTCGATATATGTGGCGCACAAATGTACAATTTTGATTGATGATAAACTTACAACATAGAGAAAAACATTAGGATATTCCTTGTACTAAATAAGATGAGGTCTTGAAGCAAATATTGAATTTTCTTATTCAAATATATATAATTTATAATAATAGAATTTCACCTTTCTAGCAAGTCACCAAGCGCCTTCGCTTGATCGTCTTCCACAGTTTTCGTGAGGTCCTTAGGGGTCAGACCCGTTTGAATCCGCGCCATATAGTCGGTATCAACGACAAAAAGAACAATTTCGCAAAAGGGTTGCTATTTTGTAACGGATTTGTCTTTTTTGATTTTATAGTCGCGTCCATGACTGCCGGATTCAAATTAGAACACCAGACCTGAGACCAGTCCTCATTTTTCATCGACGGTACATTTGCCAACGGTGGGGACATTTCTGTAAAAAACCAAATAATTATTACTAGCGCAATTATTATCGCTGTTTTAATTTAAAATGCGCATATAATTAAGATTAAGGAAATTGCATTATATGCAATTCTATGAAAAATTAATGATGTAAAACTGCAATTGATAGATATAAAATAGAACAAAGAATAAATATGATTAATTTTTGTGCTAAGATAAATAAATTAAAATTCTTAAGAACCAACCTGCATTTGACGAACCTCCAGATATCAATTTGCTTTATTTATTCGTTTATGACAATATTCTCCACATCCATGAGCACCACTTAATATTTTTATCAAAACATTTTTATATTAATTTAACATAAACATTGTTGACTGTACTATCTGCTTCACAAGTATAAAATCTCGATTGTATTTGCACTGATTCGAAACAGTCGACGTATTTACTTGTAACTCAAATATTAATCACAACCAAGAATGTTGATTCAAAAGGAAAATTGAGCATAAAAATATAAAATATATTCTAGAGTTTAAAGTATTCGTCAAAGTTTTTAATTGACACTACAATGCAAATACAAAATATGTAACACTGATAACAAATTCAGCTCTTTGGGTTATATTTTTAGAATTTTATTAGCACAGTCATGTATTACTGACTTTTCATAAAAAATATATTGAAAAATAATTTATATTAAATTGAAACGCATTTTTTATTTCATAATTTCTTTAAATGCATTCACTTCTTAGTTTAATTTAAAATCCTTAACGAATATATTCTATGTACGAATCTAAATAACAAAGTAATGAAAACAATTATAATTTGTTTAAACATAATTGAAGACTGTTATTTATAATAATAATATCTAAAATAATGTTTCAATTTTCGACATCCATTCTGATTTTTTTATCATCTCTAAATCTTATGGTAGAAAACGGGATATACGCGTATATATTTAACATTTTTGGATTAAGTAGTTAATTTTTATTTTGAACGAAGTAATTCAAAATGATTTATTTAGGCCAAAATAGGCAATATAGAGATAGAAAAATTATATTTCAAATAAAATAAAATATGGCATTATAAATATATACAAAAATGTTTAAATGCAACCCTGGAAAAGAAAACTTTAATGAATATTATGTTCTAATCGACATATTATTACTCGCAAATTGCTTTACTCCATAAACTATAATTTTTGAATTAGATAATATAATGCACGTGTACATGTAGAAACAATCTTCAAACTCGCAGATTTTAGATCATTTCAATATTTATTCAAGCAACCGCTTAAATTAAAATTAACTAACAGTCATGCATGCTTCTTTTTTACTAGTAATAAATATTTTTAAAAGGTAATATAATAAAGATTCATGTCGTTGTTCGTACATTTATATTTAAACAGATGTCATATGAATAAATATTGAGATTTGATTTTATCAAATATTTATATACACAATTCAAAACAAACTGCATAAAAGATTTGTACACCGAATATGCATTCCGTTTCAATTTATTATATTTATCAAATTTACTTTCCAGAAATTTGAATATTTTCTTGGCCTTGATCACTGTTATCAACTTTTGCATAAAACTGATCCAACACGTGCGTTAATATCAATTCGTGAGAATCAGTACTACTACAATTTAGCATTTCTCATAATCAATTAAAAAATATAAATATTTAATCACACTTGAATGAGGATATATAATTTAAACTTTATTTTCAATCCATTCTCATACAAATGTTCAATATTAAAGTCACATAAATACTGCATATTGACGCAAGTTTACATGCACAGTACATTATAGCAAGAATTTGTTGTTTACAACTTACAACCTCACAGGAATTTACTAAAGCTTCATTGAAATAATTGCGATGTACTAAATTAAAAAATTCTTTAAATGAACTATGTTAAAACTATGTTAAAATTGTCGAAGATAAACGCATAACGAATATGAAATTGTTGGAATAAATTACATATAAAAACTTATAAATGAATTAGTTATAAATTATAAATGCACCGATAAAATTGCGTCTAAATACACTTAATGCGTAATACTTTTAAAAAATCAAAAATCATATATGATTAAAATTTGTCAAAATATATACATTATTTATTATTTACAAAATTAATCGATTTTCAATATACATTAAGAGATAAGTACTATTTGACAAATTCACATGTCCAAGAGACAATGTTAAGAAATGTTATTATGAAAAGCGTAAACTTTACTCTATATGGAAGATCATTATTAAGTATAAAATTTTTATATTTATTAATCTCACACACAATATATAGCGTCTTATTATATAATTCAACTGAGTTTCACATGAATATCTTTATAGATATTTTATAGTAGTTTTAATTTATGTACATCAGTTTTATAGGCACTAAATGTAATAATATTTATAATATTTCATTTTATATAAGTCAAATTTATAAAAATATCAATTTTGTACATTAAATTCTATCACTAGATTTTCGTAAACATACATATAAAAATATGTAAATATTTTGTAACACGTAAATTAAAATATATCTAATTTAATACTTAATGAACAAACAACAAAAATAAAACTAAGTATCGTTATATTGTGAACTATTAATCTAACCGTCTTTCGAGAGGAAGAAAACATAGATAATTTTAGGCTAAGATTATTAAGTAAATATTTT